TTTTTTTTTTACTTTTGAAATTGTAAAAATGCAGAAAGTTTTCTTTGAGGGGTAGGGGTGGGTTTAGGTTAAGAAGTGTATAACTATCTGTATATAAAAACAATAGAAGTCTATGTAATGTCCCCATTTAGATAGCTAAGTAAACGTGTGTGTGTGTGTGTGTGTGTGTAAAATAGTATATCAGTCTGGCGAGTAAACAAAAAAATGTACTAGCCAATGGCGATTATATTGCCAAGGTGTGCGTAGAGGGTTGCATCACGCTTTTATTATTTCAGTCGTCTTACACAATTGCATAATAATTATACATCATTTGACATATTAACCAAAAAAGGTGTAGGCTGAAGACTTACTTTTACCAATGCTTTTTTTTCATAAGTCACTCAGAATACTAAATTTAATTGATAAGATTAAACAAGATACAGATAAACGAAGCAGTTACTGAAGATACAAAATATCTTAAGTCCTTTAAGAATAGTAACTGAATGATGGAAAATGATACCTTTTATAAATTAGGCTACTACAGCTAATACTAATTACTAATATACTAATTATTCATTTTAAATGATATATGTCATATTTTCACTGGTTTTCACCTAATTTTTTAAACATTTTAATTTACAAAGTGAAATACAATTTTAATTCCTTGTCACAGTTACCTTTATGATATCACCCCAATACATATATTTACAATATATTTGTCCTGGCCCTTATTTTTTTTTAAACGTGCATTTCCCTACGTTTACATTGACTCTCTCATTTCAAACTGCTTTCAAACGTTTGGGAAGAAAATGATGTGCTTTGTGCATAATATGTTCTCTTTTGAAATCAACCAGACAATAATAATAAGCTGCAGTGTGGATCAGATAAGCTGACGGTCTCGATCTGTGTGTGTTTGTGTGACAGAGGATCCGGTCGACGGTAGACGAGCGAGAACAGAAGCAGCTGCTGATGGATCTGGATGTGGTCATGAGGAGCAGCGACTGTCCCTACATCGTCCAGTTTTACGGGGCTCTTTTCAGAGAGGTTTGTCCGTTTGGTCTGCTTACCACCTCATGCTTTCTGAGCGAGTCTTTCCTCTCAAGACGCTTGTTCTGTCTTTGTCTTTCTCAGGGGGATTGCTGGATATGCATGGAGCTCATGTCTATCTCCTTCGACAAATTCTACAAATACGTTTATTCCTCTTTAGACGAAGTGATTCCAGAGGAGATTTTAGGGAAAATAACATTAGTTGTGAGTTTTCATTCATTTAATCCACTTTGGCATTGATTAAGTGATGCGTTCGTTAGCGTTCATTAAAATGCTGTGTTCTTCTGTGTCGTTTCAGACTGTGAAAGCACTTAACCACTTAAAAGAAAACTTGAAAATTATTCACAGAGGTAAGAGAAGCAGAATGATGAAGTTTCTCATTTCTGACCTCTATCAGTTTGTTTTTGTTGTTTTACTCCGACTGAAGCTCTTTCTCTCTGCAGACATAAAGCCATCAAATATCCTCCTGGACAGGAAAGGCAACATTAAGCTGTGTGATTTCGGCATCAGTGGACAGCTGGTCGACTCCATCGCCAAAACCAGAGACGCAGGCTGCAGACCGTATATGGCAGTAAGATTTATTCATTTATAGATTCATTACCACTACCATTCATAAGTTTGAGGTTGGTAAGATTTTGAAATGTTTTTGAACAGAAGAAAATCTCTTCTGCTGCTCACTAAGGCTGCATTTATTTGACCAAAATACAGTAAAAACAGTCGTATTTTTAGATGTAATGTATTTCTGTGATCAAAGCTGAATTTTCAGCATCATTACTCCAGTCTTCAGTGTCACAGGATCCTTCAGACATCATTCTAATATGATGATTTGATGCTCTAGAAACATTTCTGATTATTATCAATGTTGAAAACAATTGTGCTGCTTCATATTTTTGTGGAAACTTCGATACAAAATTGATACGTATTGATATGGTACGAACTTTGATGTGACTTTTTTTTGTCCAGGATTCTTTGATGAATAGAAATTTCAAAAGAAAAGCATTTAAAATAGAAATCTTTTGTAACATTATGAATGCCTTTATGGTCCGTTTGATTAATTCAATGTGCTGCTGAGAAAAAAAAATAGAATAAAATTAAATAAAGTAAATGTTATTAAATTTATTTAAACATTATGATGGTCCGTTTGATTAATTCAATGTGCTGCTGAGAAAAAAAAATAGAATAAAATTAAATAAATTAAATAAAG